GCAAAAAAGAAAAAAGAAAAGAAAAAAAAAAAGAAAAAAAAACAAAAAAAACCAGTATTATTAAACCTCTTCATGACTGAGCCAAGCGTCCTCTTTTCTGGAAATCAAAATATGGTCACCCTACTATAATTAGAGTCAAACTTATGGCAAAGGTGTCATGATGGGCTGTGCGGTGGGCAGGCAGGGAAGGTGGACCCAAGAACAGGACTCAAACAGGGAGATTAAACTGAAAGCACAGCTTTATTGCTGGAAGAAATTTCTCAAAATAAAACTCAGAAAAAAAAACTGAACAAAAACTCTGAACAGAGGAGCTGGAACACTAAAACACTAGAACATGACAAACACACAGCATGTACAGGGTACGACGCAACAGAGAGCAAAAGAAAACACAATTCATAATTCTGTGTTTAACCTTTACAACATTTAACACTATTTTTCTTGCCCAAAAGTAGGATGACAGGTTGGCAACACAGTTCTTGTCTTCTCAGACTCAGACATGAATTAAAAAGTCAATGGTGGATCATGTCTACACAGGAAAACTAGAATAGACTGAATAGACATTTTCACTACTCAGATCTCTCTGCTAACATATTTATCAGACATATACCTAATCCTTACTAGCAGATAGGGATAAGCTGTGTTTTATCACTCTGACCATTTTCAACACATTTTTAAAACATAAGATTGATTTTCAAGTCTTTTTTTCCCTCAGCTGTGATGGCAAGGGGCAGTCAGGGGGACTTCAGTCTCTCTTTGCTCCACATTACACAACAGTCCATATAAAGGTTGCACTCTTCAGTGTTTTTATGATCTTAAAGAGGAGATCACAATATTCCTGCTCAACAGCAGGCAAAAAAAACCCAAAAAACAAATACAGCTCCACAGTCAATGTCTACTTTCTGAGCGATATATTCAAACATTTGAAAAAAGAGTGTTTGTGGTTAACGAGATGGACTTGCACAGCCAATGAAGGTGAGGGAGAAAAAGTTCACAACTGATATGATTCAGTGTTATGGATGTTTTGCACTGTGTTTTTGTCTGCCACACCAGAGGGTGGCATAGTTTGTGTCCTGTGTTGTTGATGTTATGTGAGTTCCAGGTGGAGGCTGACCATTGGTGGAGGACTGGGAGAGGCAGTCTATAAATGAGGATCCTTCTGAACCGGCACGCCCCCCGCCTACTTCCTGTTCCCAACGAACTGTGCATGTGACTGCGTATGAATGTGTTCTGGAATGAGAAGCTTTTGCTGTGTTGTAAATAGTTTTGTTGTAAATAGTTGTTAAATAGTTGTAAATACTTTTACTCGGTAGCTGTAGGGGGGAGAAGCCATTTTCTTTTGGAACCTTTTCTCCTGTTTTTGGTTAGGAAGGCAGGTAAGAGACCTGTATTTTCTTTCGGGGGTTTTCCGTGTAGGTAAGCCAGTTGCATTTCATATCTAGAGAATTTTGTTTGTTGCTTTGGCCACGCTCACCGTGATGCCCGTTACCTTTTGGGACTTAATAAACTGACTGGATGTTGTAAATCTGTGGCAGTTTTTGGTTTGTCTTCCTTGAGAGCAGGGAGTGTGGGGACACCAGTTTCCCCTGGGCTGGGGTGTAACACAATCTACTAGAACTTGCTATCATGCAGTCATCTGTAGCCACAGCACAGGAGCTGCAAAGTTTATCAAACTTTTTATCAAACCCTTATCAAAGTTGCAGTCATGCTCATTGTGTTTGGATCAACATACAGATGTGATTCAGGCTTTTCACACATGAACTCAATAAAAAAAATCAGCTCCCATTCAATGCACAGAACAACAAAATGAATAAATCCCTTTTCCGACTAATGTCAACAGGGTAACTGTTGCCTAAATATTAACATTACTGGATGTGTATCAGGCCATGCCTGACTTACAGTTAACATTATGTTCCATCATGGTATAATGCAATGAGTTTCTGCAGTGATGGCTTTGATATGATTGAATCATTAATGTTGTGCACATTCAGATGTCAGATATGGGCAAAATGTTTTTGTTTTTAATTTGATTTTTTTAACTATTATTGCTACTTCAGATTCTGTTTAGTTACAACTCATTTGTTATTTTTATGCACTTACTCTTGTGCATGCTTTCAGATGTGATCAACTTTAAAAGTGAAGCAATGAATAAACATGACTTTTTTCATTAGTTCCTTTATATGGGTTTGAAGTTTATAATTGTTGCTTACAGGCTGCTTCAAATGTCTGGCCCAGGGACATTTCTAGGTTTGAAAATCTGATCCAACTAAATGTATAACTTCTGTAGTATTTTCTGGAGCTGCACACGACTGAAACATTGTCAGTTTATACATTTTCAGAGAAGGAAAACTCACCACTCTGCCCTTTTACCCACTCGTGGTATAAAAAAATCTGTCACCAGTTGATGACATCCAGTTCCTCCAATTATAATTAGTCAAAAATATGTAAAGCACAATAAAATAGAGACCTTTATTGAAATGTGAGGCTTTTTAATTCTTAATTATTTGCTGACAGGATTTCTGCATCAAGTAACAAAGTCTCAAAATACAACTTTTCAGTAAAGAAATAGGGAAGACTTCCATTTAAGACTTTTGTAAAATGGCTTTTTTCCCCTCAGATCATGCTATTAAAAGTTGTAGAAGGTTGCAAAATTTATTTTAAGCAGAAAAACACAAATGGGACCTAATCACAACAGGAGGAAATGCTTAAATGTGATTAATATCGATAGTTGTAACTGTAATGGGAAGCTGCTTGAGCCGTAATTACACTGATTGTAATAATGAAAATGAGGAACCCAATGGCAGCTATGATTGTGGCTGCAATGTTGAGACTGCGAGCAGTGGAGCCATAATGCCGTGCACCGTCCACATCTCCAGCCACCTTCCTGTCTCTGGCCTGCAAGGATGAAAATATACTTTTCTCAACTTTGAAAAATGGATTCAAGCACATTTTCGCAACTCAAAACATCAGATGTCATGTATAATCCTCTAATAGTCCCTGCAAATAACAAGATTCTGGTTTGTGAGCACTGATTTTTTTTCAATTTGCAAAATGTAGCTTATATTGTTTGAAGTTACCATAAATCATCTGTTTTGTGTTTATAGTTTATTTAGTCCTTTACTGTCTCAGTCTGATATTTTCTGTATTGCTTTCACTACTTTTAGTAAGCCTTTAATTTTAGTAACATTTCAGTAAAAGTTGAATTTCATTTAAGTTGAGCTGGTTAATTTTTTGAAGCCAGAATATTACACTCCTTTTGCTGTTCTTTTATTGCATTTTATTAAAATTTTTCTATCTCAATTGCACTTCATTCATTTTATCTTCCTGTGTTATGTCCTGTATCATTTTCAATGTTTTACATAATGTTCTATTAAATTTTTTTTCAATTTTTTTGTTTCACATTATGCATACAAAATAAAAATGTATTGATACTCTTATTTCATTTAATTGAACTCCTTTCTTTTCTGTAGTTTTAAACTTTTTAATCATATTGCATGTTATTTTATTGAAAAATTGTATATTTGTTTTTGTTTATATATTCTTTTATTCTTGGTTGTCTTTAATTTTCTGGCTTCTGTATCAAATCCATTTCCCAAAATGTTGGATAACTTTATCTTCTCTTATCACATAGAGCAAGCACATAAAAGTGTTATTTCTAAGAAATGAAAATGTGTCACAATAAACTCACCTTGATGGAATAAATGAGAGCTGCAAGTCCAAGGCAAAAAGGATTTGAGTAGAGAAAGCAGAGCAGCGACCAGATGATATGGTCTTTGGGGGGCTCTGTGATGACTGGTTGCCCTCTTGTGATGTTCACAGCAGTGTGCTGGACCACCCCAGGCTGACCAGGGAGTCCGCCATAACCCATGCCCTGCAACTGCACGGCGTCAGTCGCGTAACCTTGAGGATGCATCGCTCAAACTGTTCTCAGCTCAGCTGCAATGTGGAGAGGATAAAAGTGCGAACAAGAACAACAGAGCCACTACCAGTTGTGGTTTTTAAAGCTTTTTTGGGGGCGGGGGGTGGAACAGGAAGCCCATGAAAACCTGACCCACAATAGTTTGATTCATCACTACAAAATAAAGTAAGACACTAAGAATACATCAAACTGTCACCCATCTAAATATTAACGTGTAAAGAAAGCACTGCCAGTCACTAAACCTCTTCTACTAACTAGAGATGGACCAATCCGATATTAGTATTGGTATCAGTCCAATACTGACCTAAATTACTGGATCGGATATCGGAGAGCA